CTTTTACAGAATGTTCATGATAGAAATTATCATATAAACCATTTCAAAATTATTTATTATTTATTTTATTTTTGTTAAAGGGTTTTCATTTCAAAATTATTTTATAAACAGTATAATATACTATTTATCATCACGACCAAAAAAAAAAATACTATTTATCATGAACATTCTAAATTTTTTCCAATTTTTATAAATATATGAAATTTTAAACCATTCTATTTATTGTCTAAATCTTCTATTTATATTTGTTGGAAAACTTTTATATGAAATACTCGAATCTGAAATTTTTGGATACCATATCTATGGAAGTTAATTATCCGACCCTATGTTGGACCTCAAATCTCGGATATTTTATCTAAACTTAATTTCAACTAGCAAATACAAATACAAATTTGAATATTTGCATTTGAAACAACCATACTTACATACATGTATTTTGCTGTGTGGTGTATAAAAAAGTTGACATGGTTTATATGAAAATACTGCAGGATGGACGACACTACAGGAAGGAGAAACATAGAAGGAAACTAGTACTGTAAAAGAAAAATGTAAAATTAATGGTACTGTATAATAAATAGCGGCTAAGAAAATAGTTTTAAATTTCTGATTATTACATTTTCATTGGTTGCTATAAAATAAATAAGTACAAAATTTCGACCAAAAAAAATATAAGTATTATATTAAAAGCACAGCTGAATTATTGTTAGCTAAATTATGCCATGTTTTTGTTTAAAACGGTTTACAACTGTCTAAAAATGTGTTTTTACCACTCTATTGACGTATGTCTAATCAAACATGTTTAGTTGATTGGTGATCAACTGATCATAAAAACGGTTGATACAGTATGAAATAGTCGTCAAAAAATAGTTCTGAGTAGTAAACTCATATTTAAAGGGTTATAAAACATGACCCTACATTTTCCAACAAAAAATTTACACTGGTTTAACTGTTTTTCTTTTCACCAGCCTCAACGAATAGTTGTCTATTATTTCCAATGTTGATTTCTTGGATCCATATATGTCTATATGTAAAATGTTTTGTACAATTGAGAATCCTCGTCACTTTCATCGACACTGTATCCTTCGATCCATGTATCGTAAAGTCTGCTCATCACACTTTAGCATTGGCCTTATCCTAGAAAATCCCAATCATCGTCGGAATCTGACTCATAACTTGCACTGCCACTCAAAACCCGCGGATTTGGTCTCATCTCCATATCCAATTCTTCCTAAAAAGTATGAAAATTATAATCTTATAGGCCTCCCTCCCGGGAATGAAAAATATATAAACAGCAATGAAATGAATGATTGTTTAGTTACCGCTTCTGCGACTTGACTGATTGATGAAGTGTCCTGAAACTGTACACTAGGTGCATGCATTACTTGTGAAAGTTGCTTAAGTAATTTCTTCCTATAATTGAACGCACAGATAAGTTAGGTCTTAGAGCTCCATAATTAGATAAAAGAAGAACGAAGAATGCCAAAGGGGTTTAGAACGGTTACGTTATTTCCTTAATATCTCTTTCTGAGTTTAAATCGTCCATGGGGTTTGGCGAGGCATGAAGCGTATAGTCTGGGTGATGATAATCAATGTACTTATTGGGTGGGATATCGTCGTCAAGTTCTACTCCAACCGCAACTGCTGTCTGCAACAAAGCAACTCGAAAAAGCAACTTTGAAGAACAAGACTTTGATGATATGAAAACACAGTCATAAAGAGATGCAACAGACCTCGTAGCACCAGCAACGGGCAACATTTGAAAGAGTAGAACCTTCACCACCCAAGACCATGAGAGGAACATTAAAAGATCTTATGTAGCGGAGGCATCTAGCATGACCGTTGACAGTCAAATTGAATCCACCAGATAGATCACCAGCTAATGAATCAGCCCCACACTGAAGAACAACTGCTTCTGGCTGATAAATTTCCATAGCTCTGTGGATAACAGGTGTGAATAAATTGGTAAAATTTGTATCGTTCAAACCCTCCTCTAATGGTACATTTAGAGAACAGTATTCTCCTTTTCCTACTCCAACGTCTGTTATATCTCCGGTTTTTGGGTGAAGAGAGTCCTCAATTGTGTGGAAAGAAAGAGTCATAACTCTATCAGTGTCGTAAAACGCTTCTTGAACTGCATCCCCATGGCGAAAGCCAATATCTACGCAGAGTACTCGCTGTCAACAAAGTTTAATTAAGAATCAAAGTTACTAAGGACTTCTCTATCTATATTCCCAGAAAACATCTGATTCTAAGCGTAATTTGCAATTTAGAAGCATTAAGATTCCACAATCAACTCTTTACTATAGTAGAAAACTCACTGTCACCAAAATTTTACTTAAAATGTGGAAAGTGAAGTTACCAACTCAAGCAACATCTTCAGAAACAAAATCCTCTCATGTGTTCTATCTGTAACGTTTAGGTCTAAATCGATTGCTGATTCTGCATCTACATTCCCAGAAACATCAATATTCTAAGCGTAATTTGCAATTTAGAAGCAT